AGGGTCCAGACCTGAAACGTCAGCTTTCCTGCTCCTCTGATGCTGCCTGGCCTGCTGCGTTCATCCAGCTCTACACCTTATTATCTCAGATTCTCCAGCATCAGTTCCTACTATCTCTGGATCTTGCGCAGATCTTGGTGCATTTGGACACACTGTTTCAATGTCTGAGGAGTCATGAATGGCGCTGAACATCGTGCAATCATTGGCAAACATACCACTTCTGACCTTATGATGGAGGGAAGGTCATTGATGAAGCAGTTGAAGATGGTTGAACCTAGGACACTAGCCTGAAGAATTCCTGCAGAGCTGTCCTGGATTTGAGATGACTAACCTCCGACAACCATGACCATCTTCCTTTATGTCGGGTATGACTCTAACCACGGGAGAGTTTCCCCATGATACCCATTGATTCCAGTTTTGCAAGGGCTCCTTGATGCTGCACATGGTCAAATGCAGCCTTGATGTCAAGGGCTGTCACTCTGACTTCACCTTTGGAATTAAGCTTTTTTGTCTATGTTTGAGCCAAGCTGTAATGCGGTCAGGAGCTGAGTGGCCCCGGTGGACCAAACCTGGGCGTCACTGAGCAGGTTATTGCTGAGCAGGTGCTGCTTGCTAGCACTGTTGATGACACCTTTCATCACTCTACTAATAATCAACAGTAGACTAAAGGGGCGGTAGTTGACCCAGTTGGATTTGTCCTGATTTTTATGTACAGGACGTGCTTGGTCAATTTTCCACATTGTCGGGTAGATGCCAATGTTGTAACTGTCCTGGAACAGCTTTGGCTAGGGAGATGGCAAGTTCTGGAGCATAAGTCTTCAGTACTAATGCTAGAATGTTGTCAGGGCCTGTAGCCTTTGCAGCATCCAGTGGCTCCGACCATTCTCTTGATGTCACTAGAAGTGAATTGAATTGGCTAAAGACTAGTAAATCTAATGCTGGGGACTGCCAGGGACCACTGGAGGAGCCGAGGTGGATCATCCACACGGCACTCGGGGCATAAGATTGCTGCGAAATCTTCAGCCTTATCTTTTGCATTGATGTGCTGGGCTCTTGCATCATTGAGGATGGGGATATTTGTAGAGCCTTCTCCTCCAGTGAGTTGGTTAATCGCCCACCACCATTCATGACTGGATGTAGCAGGACTGCAGAGATTAGATCTGATCTGTTGGTTGTGGGATCGCTTAACTTTGCCTATCACTTGCTGCCTGTGCTGTTTGGCATGCTAGTAGTCCTGTTTGGTGGCATCACTGGGTTGACATCTCATTTTCAGGTATGCCTGATGCTGCTCCTGACATGCCCTCCTACACTCTCTATTGAACCAGGGTCGATCCCTTGGCTTGATGGTAATGGTTGAGAGGGGGATATGCCGGGCCATAACGTTACAAATTGTGCTGGAGTACAGTTCTGCTGCTGCTGATGGCCCACAGCACCTCATGGATGCCCAGTCTTGAGTTGCTAGATCTGTCGGAAGCCTATCCCATTTAGCACGGTGATAGTGCCATACAACACGATGGTGGTTATTCCTAACATGAAGGCAGGACTTTGTCTCCACAAGGACTGTGCAGTGGTCGCTCTTACCGATAATGTCATGCATCTGCAGCTGACAGAATGGTAAAGATGAGGCCAAGTATATTTATCCTCTCTTATTGATTCCTTCACCACCTGTTGCAGACCCAGTCTAGCAGCTATGTCCTTTAGGACGCGACCAGCCCAATCAGCAGTACTGCTGCCGAGCCACTCTTGGTGATCGACATTGAAATCCCCCACCCAGAGTACTTCTTGTACCCTTGCCATCCTCAGTGCTTCCTCTAAATGTTGTTCAAAATGGAGGAGTGCCGATTCATCTGCTGAGGGAGGATAGTACGTGGTAATCAGTAAGAGGTTTCCTTGCCCATATTTAACCTGAAGCCATGAGACTTCATGGAGTCCGGAGTCAATGTTGAGGACTCCCAGAGCAACTCCCTCCCGACTGTATACTACACTGCCACCAATTCTGCTGGGTCTGCCCTACCGTTGGGACAGAATATATCCCAGGGATGGTGGTGGTGGTGGTGCTGTTGGGAATGTAGTTATAAAAATAGTTTTCATTCTTCTATTTGTATTCTAAATTAACAATTGAAATGTTAGTTACAATGCAGTGGTTAATTTAGAATATAAAGAGAAGGATGAAAAGTTGTGCAAATAAGAATGTAGTTGTGACTAGTCTATCAGATCCTTTCTTCTCTCCAGTTTTAATAAGGAAGTAAATCAATGTTTCCCTGTGCATTTATGCTAACACTATTGTGTAGATTAAAATAGTTTCTCTTTCAGTGACAGAAAAGTAACAGTATTTCACATTTGGATTCAGGTTTGTGTAATGTTATTTTGGGAGTGTTATCAAAGATGTCCTTGATGGGGAGCACAATTACAGGTAATATGAAACCAACTTAAAAAGCAATGAAGCAATCTGATAAATTCAAAATTTCCAAAACTTATGTTTGTTTTATTTTAAAGCCAAGAATTGAAAACATTAAAACTTAACTGCCAGGCATCTGAGCTCTGGAATTTAGCAGCTCAGAATATATTAAAAGAAATTGCTGTCTACAAACCCTAGCTACCAAATGCAAACTGCCAAAATACAAGTAGTAAAGACCATAACTGAAATGAAAAAAAAGGAGCATTTTAAAACCATAGGACTGTGAAAGGAATTGCTGCACTTCTGAAAACAAGTTCCCGAAACTCATTGTGTGTGATGTTTGCGTTGCTACTTTGTTCAACTGGTGGGGGAAATTGTACACAGCATGGCACTGGAATTAGGGGGTTGGTGGGAGACAGTAAGGTTTGAGAGGGGATTGATGTGCAGAGTAAGATTTGGCTGGTAAAAAGTAACTGATTGGATTGTGAAATTGTGACCTGATATGGATGCTAGAGATCATCAGCCTGATGGTAGCTGTCTGGTTCATGGACAACTGTACAGCATATGGGTGTGAACAATATAATGAAAAGCCATCGGACTGCTGGAAGTATCGATGGTGTGTGTGTCTCTTTGCAGTAAAAATACCTGAAGACTAAATAAACAAGAATTTTATTTCCCACCAATTACTGTAAGTTGTTGCCTTTAATTAGTAATTAAAATAGTTTGTAGTTAGTATACCAATTACCTTGTATCTCCTGTAAATAAGAGAAAAGAGATTAAAGAACAAAGTCCTAGGAAGCAAAAGATCATCTTGGCAAAGCCTGTGGATTGATGCTATTGAACAATGATTCCCTGTATTTTATCTACCTCCACCCATGAAACTAAGTGTTTTTATTTTGTGTTTGTCTGTATCTGTCTGTCTGCATGTGTGTGTAAGTGTTTTAAAGTTGGGTAGTGGGGTGGTGTAGTGGTGTAGTTGGGGATGTGGCATTAGAGGGGGAGGTGTAACCAGTAGAGTAATATGTTGATAGTTCATAGCTGTTTATTTGTGATTAAAATTTACTTATTGGTAATAAACAGTAGTTCTTGTTAAGTACAGGAACCTGGTCAGTGGTTCCTGTTAACTTGATTCCAACAGACATGTGAATTGTGGTCTTTGTGTGCTTTGATTAGATTATTAACTTCTTTGGCAACCCCAGAGTAATGGGGCTTGAGAATCTGTGCACCTTCTGAAGTGGGTCATTGTTGCAAAGTTGGGTAGAGTATTTATATATGGGAGGCAGGACATTAGAATTTGGTGTTTGTAAAATGCTAAGGGGGAAAGCATTGCCTATTCCTTTTAAAAGATTGTGCTTTTTCTACGCTTGGAGATGTCTATGAGCAGCTTGGAAGTTTGCAAGTACAGAGAGCACCAAATTGAAACATTTTTTATCGAAAGGCCATACCGTCAGCAGGTCAAGCAGCATTTTTACCAAGACAATGGGTTTTTGAATTTAGCCAAACAATTTGAACCAGGCATTTAGATACCAAAAACTGTCAAATTTTGAATCTGATCATTTTGACAACCTAGGTCCAATCATTTGTAAGAAATTGACATATCATCAGAGGTATAAAAGAAGAGGGTAATTGGACAAAGACAGGAGAACTAATTGCCATCTGCCAGAGTTAACAGCTCTCAGCCCTCAAGAAAATCACTGGTTCTCTCAGACTCCAATAAGTCTTAGAGAAAGCACTATCTAAATGTCAAAGGTACCATTGGCACAACTAGTTCATATTCCTGACAGAAGAATCAGAGGAGGTATTCCTTACAGAAGGCACAGAGCATTCCGGAAGGCATGTAATCTGGTTGCAATTTCGAGAGACTAAATTTTACTTTTTTAAAAGTTTTATTTTATATAAGTGGGACTTGTACTTAATGGAACAGTGTACCATTAGAACCTTGCATTACTCTGAAATAGTTCGTCATTAGAAGGGATTTGTTAGGTTTGTTGATAATTTAATAATCTGTTCATTGTTAGAGTTAGATAAATAAGTTGTTACTTGTTGAGTGTAAAGTGAGTATCAGGGGTTTATTTTGTTTAATCACCAGACGTTGCTGAAAGACAGGTTACACCCCTTTTAACAGATTATACGGTGAGGTGCTCCTCTTTGGGTGTTTCAGTTTGGTTCTTGGTGCGGTGGGGGGGGTCAACGTTTGCTTTATAACAGTCATAACATTAATTAAAAGCTTTAGAAGGTACCAACAATATATGAGTAACCAAGGAAGAAACCCTTTTTTTTTTTAAATGATGTCATTTAAACAAAATTATTCTTTAACAAATGGCAGAGAAAAGAAAGGACTGCTAATCTCTAATGTGATATAAACTGCACTCTTTTAAAACCCCAAATACACATACACTCATTCACAAATAAAACAGACAGAAAGCAGGTATAATATTTGACAGAAATTTTATGGGTGGAAAAAATGGACAGGAAAAACAATTTGTCTAGATCAACAGTTCAGATGACAGTGAGTTAAATTGTCTCTCTCAGTTCTTTTGATTTTTATCAATGATGACATGGTGTGTGTAGAACAATGGACATTCTTCAATTCAGTAGTTGATCAGGTAGACCCGCTCTCTTGTATTAGAAGTCTTTCTTTTGGGTTACTTTGGGTCTTTTTATCTTCTAATTCTCAAATCATTTATAATCCTTTTCTGTTTCTGGCTGCACTGCCCTCAATTCTGTAGCAAACTACAGCTCAAACATCTTGAGGGCTATCATCAGGCAGTTTTTTCTTAACTCAAAGACTCCTGATGCTGCTGCATCTCAATAATCTATCAAATCCATTGCTCCAGAAGCGACATAGTCTTGTATAGCTGCAAATGTACCACACAACTTGATTTTTTTTTTCAAATTTCAAAACTCTGTCTTTGTATTTCATCTGTATAGTAGTGTCCAACTTCTATTCAGTTGATAGTCCAGAAAGGGAAAATATGCAGTCCCTTATACCAAGTAGAAATAAGAACTATGACCTTTTATCTCAATTTTGAGTACATTTGCTGCACTTTTATTTTAATATTTTATTCATTGCAGGCAGTGGTCCCTGGTCCAGGAGAACACCCACTACAGTACAACTATACATTCTGGTATTCCAGACGTACACCAGGGCGACCAACCAGCTCTCAAAGTTATGAACAGAATGTTAAACAGATTGGAACATTTGCATCTGTAAGCGCTTTTTTTTCTGATTATGCTATTACACTAGGAAGTGTTTTGATGCTTGGTTTTCTTTTTGTCTATTTTGTTCACAAAAAAAATTCAGCATAATTTGTAGGAAGAAAAACATGCGTATTGGAAAGATAAAAGCAGCTGTAAATACTTATTAAATAAAGAACTAGTGGATGCTTAAAGTCAGTTGTTTCATTGCATTTGCCAGATACTTACCTGATAAGCAGTGTTGCCTAGAAAGTTAACATTTTTCTATGATGGGAATGCATGCTGCACCTTTATGTAAATTTGTTCACATGTTTATAACTCTAACTTTTCATTATATTTTCATCAATATAAATTTTGATTTCAGTAGCAGTTTATAATATTGTAGACTAATTGCCTTTCTTATTGAACATTTCCCAAGTAACTTGAATTGACGTAGCACAATAAAAAGAATAAAAGTTAATGAATCATTTGCCTTTGTGATTCTAGTTAAAAGCTATCATGTTTTGAATCTGATGGTTTTGACAACCTAGGACCAATCATATTGTAAGAAATTGATATATCATCAGAGGTATAAAAGAAGAGGGTAGTTGAACAAAGACAGGAGAACTAATTGCCATCTGCCAGAGTTAACAGCTCTCAGCCCTCGAAAATCACTGGTTCTCACAGACTCCAATAAGTCTTAGAGAAAGCACTATCTAAATGTCAAAGGTACCATTTGGCGCAACTAGTTCATATTCCTGACAGAAGAAACAGCAGCATCATTTATCATTCAGATGGAAAGTTCCAAGTCAGATTGGAAGAAACCAAGGAGGTATTTTGCTCTTCTAATATGGCCCCAAAATAAAAACAGAAAATGCCTGACATACTCATGTTACAACATCATCCCTGGAGAGTAACAACTAGTGGTTCAGGTCTGTAACCTTATTATAAGCTTTGAGCAAAGGGTGGGTGAAATAAGCACAAAAAGGTCTGTGATTTGGCGAAAGTCAGGAATTCCTTGGCCATTCCCTTCCACTGTCAAAGGGAATGGTGATGGGCAACAAAAAAAACAAAAGTTGTGTCTCTAACAAGTGTACTGCTTCACTGAAACAAATGAAACCAGCAAAGGAAAGCAATCAAAATGGAGTGCCAAAATCGTCAGAAATTGGTGGACCTCATGTTTATTCTGGAAAGCTGAAAAGTGTTTAATTAAAAGATGAGGTACTTTTCTTCAACCTTGTGTTGGTCCTTTCTTGAGCAGTGCAATTGGCCAAGGAGACAACCATCAGCAAGAGAGAATTAAAATGACAGGCTGGAGGAAACTCGGTCATACCTGTTGAGAGAAAAGAGGTGCTCCTGAAAGTAGTTGCCCAATCTGCATTTAATCTCTCCCATGAAGAGCATTTTGAGCAGCAAGACACAAGTTTTTAAATAAGTTGTGTGTAACATGGAAGGAGAGTTTTGGACCTTGTACATCTGGCTTATGTAATGTGGGGGAAATGAACTTATCCACTATCACTGTCACAATTACAATGTGTGTAATTATTTTATCAGGAATGTCAATTTGCCTTTAATATGAACAAGGAATCATGCAAAAAGTTACATAATTGTATATGTAAATTTCAACTGGTATTGGGACCAGACTTGTGATTTCTTCTAGAAACAAATACAGACGTTTTGAAATTTAATGAAATATTAAAGGATAAACAGAAAGTCCTTGATATTAGTTTGCCTGAAGGTGTGATTAGTTCTTTCTATCTCACCACAACCCGACAATGAAAGCCAATAAAGAAAATGAGTAAGGCTGATTTAAACAAAATAGTTAAGGGGTCTATACCTCCGGTCTAGGCCAACTGAGCACCGAAGATAGAAGCATGATTTGGTAGTCTTGTGATGGGCTGTGAGAAACCATCTTGGGCAGATCCTCCCAAGATGTACTCTGAGCAGCACCCGCAGAAAGAAGGTTCTTAGGGAGATGGAAGGAGGCAAACTATCAGGAATGCTATTCTGCACATGACCAAGTGCCACAACCAGCATTGATGTAAAAGCAAAACAAAGGAGTCTTCATTCCATCCCAGAACCTGTTCTGCTCAGTGTGAGCAGCATTCAACTATTTGACTTTATACACCACCACATCCTATTTAAGACAGAAGTGAATTTTTTCCTGAGGATCTTTAGTCTTGGGAATTCTCTTCAGAAGACAGTAGTGGAGGGTGTGACATTAAATACATTGCAAGGCTGAGTTAACTAGATTTTTGCGCAATAAGGGAGTCAAGTGTTATGGGGGAGGGGTTTGGCAGATGTGACAACAGAGTTGAAACCACAGGTCTGCCATGTTTTTATCAAAAAGTAGTGAATGCTTGAGGAGCCAAATTACCTATTCCTGAACTTAATTCTTGTGTTTTTGGGAATTTTATCATGGTTCTGTGGGGAGAAGGGTAAAAGTGACTCAGAAATATGGTGAACGTGGTCGACAGCGCTGTCAGCTACAGTGGTGGGGAGAATCCTTCCTTGGTTGGGGGAGAAAAAAGAGACATTGAACCACAACAGTGCTTCTGCAATCATCAGTACAGATGTACTGGAGACAGAGGAACTGAGAAAATGAAGTGGAATCCTTTACAGTGTGTAGAAAGTGAGGAGGTGTGGTCAAGGTAGCTATATGAGTCAGTGGGCTCATAATAAATACTAGTTGCCAGAAATGGAAAAAGATGAGTTAAGAAAGGAAGGAGTCAAAGATGAAACATAGCTCTCAAAATCCCTGTTGAAGTCCAACTTGTATTTCATATATATTTTTTATCCTCTCTGAATTTTTGGTATTATTTGTCTATGAATTATGTTGGAGATTGCGTTTGAACAAATCATTCCGATGGTGATGACAATCTTTTCAGTTATTACTGTAAATTCATAAGTAAAACTCACTCAATCTGACTGTGAATTGGCAGCGACGGATAACTTGTTTGATGCCTGCCCAATGCTGAGGAAAATGTGATTTAATTTGTGGACTGGCTTTAATCATGAACGATAGACATCTGTTTTCTTTAGTACTTGAGCAAAGGTAAAGCGGGACAGAAATAATTGATAAGTTGGTCTTGCTGTCCCTCTATTTGGCTTGGAAGTAGGTTTGATATCAAAGAATACTGAGAAAGACATTGTTCTTGAAATTGTTTTTCACCAAGGAGCAAGTTGCAAACATACTTCATAGAATGGCTAAAAGCTTTTTTACTTTTATTGTCTTGGAGAAGATACCGTGCTTTTAAATATTGTAAACTGGTTAAATTTACTGATTTTACTCAATTTTTCATCTGTTAACCTTCTGAGTAAACTTCATTTATAACTTTCAACCTAAATATGGGCTCAATATGGTGTTTTCCATCTGGCAGAAAGATCAGGAATGCGTATTGATAACATATGCTATTCCGTTGTTCAACTTGCTATGACTGGTTTCATTCTATGCTCGCAATATAAGCTGGCAGTTTGATGTTCCACAATGCATTACAAGAAAGATCATGAAGAGTTTCTTGTCTGCAGCGAAAATGTATACATTAAATATGAGGAGGCTGTTGCATCAGTATTGAACTTTTTTGTTTATTCACTCATTGGACATAGGCGTCGCTTGCTGGCCAGCATTTATTATCCATCCAAAGTTGTCATGAGAGGGTAGTGGTGAGCTGCCGTCTTAGACCCACAATGCCCCTTGGGAGAGAATTCTTCAACTCGAGTGACCTTGGACTCTCGCTCTGCTCCACACCCCTGACACCAGACTCCCATGTATCTGATATTGTAGAGATAAACCATCCCCAAGTCTCCCGATTAGATTCCAGTCTGTAACTCAGTTCCGAGTATCTGTCACTCTATATTCAAACCACTCCCAAAACCCTCAATCAGCGTATAAGTCTCTATAGGTACTTGTTATTCTATGTAAGCAACTCTGTAAGCAAAAATTAAGTTCCAATCTGTAACAAACTCTTGGGTATCTGTTATTCTATAGGTAAACAAACCTCAAACCCCTGAATGTAAAGGCTTGTGGTAAGGCTCTGAAGCCAGTGTTATTTGCTCGTGTTGACAAATTTATAATTGAAATTTACTTCTTATCATAAGGTTTATATGTTACTTTTTGTGTGTTTAATCCACTTAATGTTTGTAGATTTCTGTACCTATTTGCTGCTTTTATCCTTTTCATCACCTTCCAAAACTGTTAGGACTGTTGACGTCTGTGTTGCTGTGGTTCTCACTGTGGCAAACACCCAATTTGGCATTGCTTTTCCTATTAAAGAAAATTGCCGGTGTTCATTCCAGGCTGGCAGTTTTCAAACCATCAACTATCTAAACTGGATGTGTTGTTACATCAAAAAAGCTCATATTTAATTGTTAATCGAGGAATGTGAACATTTTGCTGTTTGTACTTAATAGATTACTACTACCTGTACACTTTTTGTTATCTGAATAATGAGTTGAGTGTGTATAATTACAAAATGGTTTATAACCATTACATGGAGATAGCAAGAACTGTAGATGCTGGAATCAAAGATAACAGAGATTACTCGCTACCTGCAGTCACCTATCGCCATCCCACCTACCTTCCCCAGCCCCACACCTCTATTTATTTCTGAGCTCCCTCCCCATTTCTGAAGAAGGGTCCTGACCCGAAACGTCAACTTTCCTGTGCCTCTGATACTGCCTGCTGTGTTCCTCCAGCTCCAAACTGTGTTATCTATAACCATTACAACTTGTTTATAAACTTACAGCTCAAAGTGACACAATGAATTCAGTATGGATATGTTCATTTGATATATTCTATAAGCATGGTGACTCAATAGTTAGCACTGCTGCCTCATGGTGCCAGGGACCTGGGTTCAATTCCACCCTTGGGCGACATTCTCCCTGTGTCTGCGTGGGTTTCTGCCCAGTGCTCCAGTTTCCTCCCACAGTCCAAAGATGTGCAAGTTAGGTGAATTGGCCATGCTAAATTACCCATAGGTTAGGTGGGTTAACTGTAGAAAATGCAGGGTTACAGGGATAGGGTAGGGGGGTGGGGTTGGGTCTAGGTGGGATGCTGTTCAGAGGGTCAGCATGGACTTGTTGGGCCTAATAGCCTGTTTCCACACTGTAGGGATTGTATGGACTTCTGGAGCAGGTAGGATTCAGGGTCTCTGATTCAGAGACAGGGACATTACTGCTGCACCACAGGAGCCCTTCCAATTTCTTCATTTGAGGAGATATTTTCTAATCAGCCTGTTCAGAGACATTATTACATACCTCTGGAGCAGGTGGCACTTGAACCCAGGTCTCCTGGTCCAGAGTTAGGAACACAATCTCTGTGAGCCACAAGTGGTTTATTCAATGTCTGCCTTCCAGAGTAGGTGGGGCTTCAGTTTAATATCTCCGCTAAATGACAGGAGCTCCAACGCTGAAGTGTTTGGCTCTGCAGTGTGACTTGAACTTGCAACTTGTTCAGAGAATTTACTACACAGCTCTCAAACAGATATTTTTGAGTCTAGGCTTTCTGGCTCAGAGGTAGGAATACTCCTACTGTGTCACAAGGGCCCTGACTTTTTCATTTAATTCTTACTGTATTTATTGACAACATGTGTCATGATCATTGAATACCAGGCAGTTTGTGCATTTGACGCAGTTATGTCTGACTAATTGTCACTATGGATTTCACAAGTGATCATTTGCATTTGATGGCCAGAAATGTGTTTATCCGACAAAAGATTAGTTTGCTATTATCTTGTATGGTTAAGCTCCGCCTCAAATTAAAAATTTCACATTTATATTTTACCACAATCTGCCTTATCAAGTTTATCTCTCCACAAATGCTGCCAGATGTGCTGAGTTTCTCCATAACTTCCTGTTTTTATTATTAACTGATATTGTTAATGTTGAATTATTGAAAGTATTCATGCTGAGAAGATCTAACTTTACAGAAACATAGCAATCCTAGTTATGCAAAAACAAAATATAGCAAATGTTAGAAATATAAAATAAAGAATGCTGGAAGTCAGCAAAGTGGGCAACACCTGTGGAAAGTGAACAGAGAACATAAAGTCACTTCTGGTAGAAAGTCAATCTTAAATTTTAATTCTTTTTCTTCCCCATAACCATATTACCATTCTGATGTGCAAGTGTTTCATCATCAATTTATCTAGAATCAAAATATGTTCTTATGAGCCACTAGTCACTACTTAAAGAAGTATCTTGATTTCATCTGAGGATCATAGCCAAATTTCCCAACACAATCTCAAAATTGAGTTTAATAAGATCTGAAATTCTTGGTTAAGACCATAAGAAATGGGAACTGGAGAAGGCTGTTTGGCCCTTTGAGTTTCTGTGCCATTCAATAGAATCAGGACTGACCTGACATTCCTCATGTTCACTTTCCTTTGTTTTCTCTGTGACCTTTGATTCCCCTAATGATCAAGGATATATGTGTCTTAGCCCTAAATATACACAAGGATTCTGCCCTCACAGCTCTCTGGCAATGAGTACCAAAGACTTTCCACCCTGAAGAAGAAATTCCTCCTCATCTCAGTCTTAAATTAGTCCTCTTTTGTTCTTTGTGACTGAGACAGAACTGGAATTGACAAACAGTACTTACAAACGTTTAGGATGTTGTAACTATTTACTGCAACAGTATGAGAATTACATTTTTCTGTTTATTTTTCTTTTCAGGTTGAACAGTTCTGGAGGTTTTATAGCCATTTAGTTCGACCTGGTGATCTCACAGGGCATAGTGACTTTCACCTGTTCAAGGATGGCATTAAGCCGATGTGGGAGGTGAGCAGCTATCTTGATAGTGTATGATTGAATTAATATCATTGGCTACATGTATCGTCCTGTGATGTTCACAAATGAAATCATGTTTTTTGATTATAACTTACTTTTGAATGTATCTATAAAAAGAAAGTGCTTAGGATACCTGAGTCTCAGCTGCCAAAGCAAGCCTTCTTTGCCCAGCTCAAGGAAAGCATACAAATGAGAGAAAGACTATGGAAGCCTTTCAAAGACTCCCTGAAGGCTTCCTTTAAGAAATGCAATATTGATGTCAATGCGTGATCATTCAGAAGAAGCAGACTTGGGGGAACCTCCTGTATGAAGAAACACAATTCTTTGAGAACATCATCGGTAAGAGGCAATATGAAAAAGGGACTAGAGAAAGGAGTGCCAGTGATCTCAAGACCAAGGACCAATTCTTCTACCTGGAAACACCTGCCAAATGTATGGTAGGAGATGCAGCACTAGGATCAGGCTCATCAGCTACACAAGGACCCCACAGACTTTCTGGCCAATGACAAGGAATTTCGTAGGTGGACAATATGATCACCTCCACAAGCTCCATGGGAATCACTAATTAATTCCTTGTGGTGTTTGCTCAGCTGGAACTCGTCACTCGAGCCCTTTCTAAAGCATACCCTAGGGGCTGTTGTGGTGCATAGGTAGTGGCAGTAATAACATCACTGAACAGGCTGATTTGAAAAATTGGTTAAATAAAAATTCTAAAGCATACTCAGAAGAGGGGCCTTGTGGTGCAGTGGTAGTGTCCCTGCCTCTGAGCTAAGAGGCCTAGGTTCAAGTCCAACCTAGAATTTTGTCATAACAAATATAAACAGGTTGCTTTAAAAAAAAAAAGTAGATCCATGGGGCTCTGTTGGAGGCCATATCTCTGAGCTGGTTGTCCTGAGTTCAAGTCCCACCTGTTCCAAACATTTGTAATAACGTTACTGAACAGGTTGATTAGTAAACAAAAATAAAGTAGACGGAATGTAAAAAAATGAGCAGACCCACGATGGGTTGAAAGAATTGAAACTGAACTAATACTGAGTTAAAATGTAGTTTACAGAAGTTGCTGGAAAAACTCAACAGGTCTGGCAGCGTGTGCAAAGAAAAAAATCAGAGTTAACATTTCATTTCTGGTGACCCTTCCTCAGATCCGTAGTTTAGTTTAGTCTCTTAAATATCATTTGGAAAGATAACACACTTCAAAATGTAAATAATTGCAACATTACTTTGCCTTTGTTTAAAACATGCTGTTAAAACTTACAGGATTAGTGATTTTTGCAGTCCATTCACAGTATTGACGGCCTTTATTCATGGTCAGTGTTTGCTCCATTGAAATTAGGCATTATGTAGGAATGAGAAGAACTATTACAATTTTAAAAATTAAACATGAAGTAGCTGAGTCATGAGTTTTCACAAGCAAAACAAATACATAGGCTTACCTCTCAACTCCAGGGCGAAGAACAAAATTTGGCTGACTTGAAATTCAGTCAGTTTGATTTCGTCTACACAACAGATATTGGATAATTTCAAATTCATATGTAACTAGAGAACTATTTTTGTAATCTGACCTGAATGATAGGGATTAAAATTGCTCCAACTCAATACCATTAACAAAAGCTACTAACCTATTTAAAATAAATGAGCTGACATATTAATTAAAATAGACAGCGATATTTCTTATAAATAGGTGTATTCATCATCGGCAATTACTCCATAACAAGCATGGCTGTTTTTAATAACTCAGGAAGCCTGACTAGAATGGAACATTGTTTATTGCTGAATACCAAAATATAGCACTACTCCAATCCGGGATAGACAGTTCCTAGGTCTGCTTTTTTTGAACCTTTGCTTAAGGTTCTTTTAATCTTTTCCAGGACGAAGCTAATAAGAATGGTGGAAAGTGGATAATCCGTTTGCGGAAAGGACTAGCATCACGTTGCTGGGAGAACTTGATTTTGGCAATGCTGGGTGAGCAGTTCATGGTTGGTGAGGAGATATGTGGAGCTGTTGTTTCAGTTCGATTTCAGGTATACCATTCAATTTGTTTGCTGCTGGGAATTTTGAATGAACTGTAGCATAATGTTAATTGCCTAAATTTTTTTTTTGAATGCCGTTCTATACACCAAACATAATGTTTGAAAACGCTTATGTTGCAAGAAATGTTTATGAGCCAATTTAGAGAATTAAAACTTGTATTTGATAAATGGTGACAAGTAATATTCTATTGCGGCAAGCAGGATATCCTGACTGAGGATCAAAAGCATTAAAATTACTTCTTTTAAATTTCAAAAATACACTTTATTCTTAAAACATCTTTGTATACATACACAGTCACTGAAGCAGTTCAGTTCTATGTAGCAGCATATGAAGAAACAAACAAACATTGGAGTTTGACTGTATCCAACAAACAACACAAAGGCATTTCTAAATTGTACAAGACTATATGTACATGTATTTGAGGCACTGGGGCAGGGGCGGGGTTCCTATAACTGAATAGATCCCCATTTCACTTTGGCAGAAATACCTTAGACAGTGGTTTTGCCCCACTGTGCCTTGGTGGCAGATGCCCCAAGCTTTAATGCATCCCACAGCATGTAGCCTGGACCTCGGAATGTGCCAGTCTGCATCACTCGGTTGGGGCCAACTCCTTGCTCAGCAAGTTTCAGGCAGACCAGAGAATGTCTTTCACTGAGTTGATGGTCCTCCAGGCGCAGTTGATGTTTGTCTCAGTGTGTGTCCTGGGGAACAGAGTCCTGTGTCATGGAGCTGCTCGGGATGAACCTCCGCATAAACCACCGCATCTTTCTCCAGACTTCCTTTGCAAAAGAGATGTGTGACAGTCTCTACCCCACTCAGCTGCCTTGAGGGCAGCGTGCTGAGGTGCAGAAAGTCCAGGTGTGTATGAAGGATTTCACAGATGGGATCCAGGGTAACTTGGCAAGTTGGATCTGCAATTGGTTTAGTGACGAGAGACAGAGGGTGGTGGTAGAAGGTTGTTTGTGCGACTGGAGCCTGCTATGCAGTAGCATGCCACAGGGGTCTCTTATTGTTTGTGATATTCATAAATGATGTGGATGAGAATAAAGAGGGGCATTGATAAGTAAATTTGTGGATGGCACAAAGGTTGGTGATTGACAGAGAAGGAAGATGTGAAGGATATACCCGGATTGGTCAGATGGTGAGATCAGTGGCAGATGGAATTTAACCCTGATAAGTGTGAGCTAATGCACTTTGGAAAAAGGAACAAGTCAAGGGAGTACTCGATGAATGGCAGGACACTAGGAAGCCAAAGGAAAAGAAGAATCTTAGGGATCTGTGGACAAGCAACCCGAAGGTCGCTGGTCAGGTTAATAGGGTAGTTACGAGTGCATACAGGATGTTTGCCTTTATCAGTCATGGCATAAGAGCAGAGAGGTCATATTGGAGGTGAACAGGACTTTGATTAGGCTGCAGCTGGAACACTTTGTGCAGTCCTGGTCACCACACCAAAGGAAGGATGTTATTGCACTGGAGACGGTCCAAAGGAGATTCACCTCAGAATGTTGCATGGAATGGAACAATTCAGCTATGCAGGGTGACTGGATAAGCTCAGGTTGTTTTCCTTTGAGCAGAGAAGGTTGTGGGGGGGACCTGATAGAGGTGTAGTAGATTGAGGGACAGTGTGAAAAGAAAGCAGCTGTTTCCCTTAGTTAAAGGACAGATAACATAGGGGCATAATTTTAAGGTGAAAGGGGTTTTGTGGAAAAGCTTTTTCACTAGCGGGTGGTGAGGAACTGGAATGCACTGCCTGAGACGGTAGTTGAGGTGGGAAACTTCACCACCTTTAAAAAAGACCATTTAAAATGTCATAACATTTACGGCTGTGGACTTAGTGCAGGAAAGTGGGACTAGTGTAGGTAATGGTATATTTTTACCGGTACGGTCTCAATGGGCAAAGAATATTGGTGTACCCTCAATGGAGCAAGTGTGTAGTTCTGGGTGCCACAATTAAGAAAGATGTTAGGGTATTATAAAGGGTTTGGGAGTGATTCCCAAAAAAGGTTTGAGGGAAGACTGAATTAATTTATATAAATTTGAGCAACTGGGATTGTTCTTCTTGAGAAAAGACTGGGAAGAGTTTTGATGGAGATCTTCAAAATCAAGAAGGGCCTGGACAGAATAGGTAGGGAAAAATGGTTCCTACTAGTGAATTCATTATGAAAAGGAAAGCGTAGATTAAAAGTAATTGGTGAAAGAAGCAATGAATATGTGATAAAAATCTTCTTGGCACAGCAAATGGTTGCAACCTGGAATGCACTGCTTGACAGTGTAGTGGGGACGTGTAGAGGGATTATCGAGAAAGGAGGAAAGTGCACAGCTATAGGGAGAAGACCAGGATGTGGTAATATGGGGATGAAATGATGGCCTCTGTGCTGTAACCATTCTGTGATTATATAACTGTTGAACATGTACTGAAAGTATACATACAACATGGAATTGTACCGCACAGGAACGGGCCCTTTGGCCCACAATGTTGTGCTGAACATGACGCCAAATGAAACTAATCCCTTCTGCCTGCCGTTGGTCCATATCGCTCCATTCCTTGCATATTCATGTACTTATTTAAAATTCTCTTAAATGCCCCTATTCTGTCTGCCTCCACCACCATTCCTGGCAGTGCTTTCCAGAATCCTCCTACTCTGTGTAAAAGAAAAACTTGCCCCTCATGTCTCCTTTGAACTTTCGTCCATAACCTTAAATGCGTGCCCCCTTGTATTTGACATTTCAGTTCTCGGAAAAAGATTCTGAACATCAATCTTATCTACGCATCTCATAATTTTATAGACTTCTAGCAAGTGTCCCATCAACCTGTGCAGCTCAAGAGAAATCAAGCCGAGTTTTTCTAGCCTCTGCTTAAAGCTCATACCCTCTAATCCAGGCAGCATCCTGGTAAATCTCTTATGCACCCTTTCCAAAGCCTCTACATCCTTCCTATAATGTGGCAACTAGAATTGAATACAATACTCTAAACATGGCCTAACCAAAGTCTTATAAAGCTGCAACATGACATCCTGACTCTTCTTTTCAATTCCATGACCAATAAAGGCAAGCATGCCATATGCCTTCTTTACCACCCTAACTACTTGAGTGGCTACATTTTAGTTAATTTTTAAGTTTTTTTTAATATTGGGAGATATTTAACCCAAATCCTGATTATTTAAGGGACTTTTTTTTTCTTCCAACGTCCATTCTGTGCTACTTCATTCAGCACTTTTCCTCTAATCCCCTTTCTATTTTAACTTGACACTCTTTTCACATCAATTAATTCTGGCACTCCTTTCCCTTTCCAATTAGTTCACACTGCCTCTTACCCCCTTCTTTTGTTAAAAAGATTGAGAATCCTCAAAGATTTATGCTGTCCTCCAAATTCGAGTCTCTAGTACATCCCCAATTTTTATTATCCTTCACGTTTAGTGGTCATGCTTTCAGCACCTTGACCCTAAGCTCTGAAAGAACTTCAGTAACAGTGGCAGACAAGGATGGAGCATCTCATGTAATTCAGCAGTAGAGAAATGTAACAGTGGTGACATCACAGCAAAATCATGAGTTGATTGGTTGTTGAGCAGTTGCTTTTAGGAACTGTAACCTTGAAAAATGGCAATTTCTAGACTAATACAGGGAAAGTAAGAATTTTTAGGCATTGGTGAGGGAGCTGATTTCTGGTAAGGGTTAGGAATGTCTGTTTTTTACTAATTTCCAGCTTGGAGTAAACAGTACATATTGGTGCAAACGTTGTATACAGATAGCATAAAGGGTGCTATTCTAAAGGGTGTACAGGAACAGAGAGACCTTGGTGTACGTGTGCATAATTCGTCAAAGGTAGAAAGGACATGTACAGAGATCAGTTAATAAAGCATAAAGTTTTCTAGGCTTTGTTAATCGGCACAGGGGATTTATGCTGAACTTGTATGGGACACTATACAAGCTGGAGTAATGTGTACTGTTCTGGGTGCTACACTTTAGGTAGGAAGTAAGTGTATGAGAGAGTGCAGAAGGGGTTGACCGAAATAGTTCCAGGTATCAGAAACTTCATTTATGAGGTTAGAGTTCAGAAGTTGGGCTTGTTTTCCTTTAGAGAGAAGGCTAAAAGGAGATCTGATAGAAATGTTCAACATCATGAAGAGTCTGGACAGAGTAGATAGGGAGAAATTGTTCTTGCTCATAAAATGATTGAGAACCAGATGGAAGATATTTTAAAGTGTTTAATAAAAGAAGCAATAGTTTGGGCCTGCCATGCAGTGCCTGGAAACGTGGTTCAAGTATGTTCAATTGAGGCATTCAAGGGGGAATTTAATGATTATTTAAATAGAAACAATGCTCTGATTTTTCAGGGAAAAGGCAGGATATTTGCACTAAGTCACAATGCTCAGAACCAGTGCAGACGTGATAGGCTAAATAAGCCTCCTTCTGTATTGTAACAATTCTGTGAATTCCATGCCTTAAAGCTGTCTGCCTCTCTCTTCCCCTTTAACATGCTCCTTTAAAACCTATTTAATCAAGCTGTTAGTCACTTGTCCTATCTCATATTTCTGACGTTTTTTAAGGGCTTCTGTGATGACTCTTAAAATGTTTTACTGCATTAAACGTCCTGCATAAATCCAAAATTTTTTTTGGAATGAGTAGCAGGACTATTTTTGACAAATCTTTTAGTAGTATGTGATCCTCTGGAACTGATCGCACATTTCACTTTTTCTTTGTTACTAGGAAGACATTATCTCAATATGGAATAAAACAGCCAGTGACCAAGCTACTACTGCTCGCATACGAGACACATTACGACGTGTCCTGAACTTACCACCTAATACTATCATGGAATACAAGACACACACCGACAGTATCAAGTGAGTGCAATGAGGAGCTAGCAGAATAGTTTAGCCTAAAATATCTATATTGGGTAGTGAACTAAAAGTATTAAAGTAAGTCGGTATTGCATTCCCTCAAGTCACTTGATTAGTGCAAGTGACACAGACATAGTATCAAGCACTTATCAGTGGCACCGAACCTGTGATAGTAAAATGGGAGGAGTTGACATTAATATGACCTTTTCCTAAAATTCACTATACTTTCTGAATCAATCTGAAGTAATTATCTTTTTTTTATTTCCTTGTCTTGTAATTCACTTGAAATTATTGGTTTGAAAAATGCATTATCATTATTTTCAGGCTGCAAAGATTGCTGTTCATTGAGGTTGCACATAACATTTAAGCTAGCAGCAGAAAAGGACATTTCTTCTGAACTAAGATTAGAAAGAAAAATCTTTAAGCTGTTTCTTGATTTTGCATGAAATGAATCGAATTGACTTGAAGACTGGCCACTGTCTGTCTGTGATGCTGGGGACCTCAGGAGGAGACCAAGATAGATCATCCACGTCGTACATCTGGCTGAAGATGGTTGTAAATGCTTCTTTAGGCACTGACGTGGATGGAGTATTTGTGGAACTTATCTCTCCTGTTGTGTGTTTAACTTCCTATCATTATTCCTGACTGGATGTGGCAGGGCTACAGAACTCCAATCTAATCCGTAGGTTGCAGAATCACATAGCTCTGTTGCATGCAATGTCCCCTATTTAACGCATGAAATTTTGTGCTGTTGGTTTACTAGATTGGTATCTCATTTTTGGGTGTGCCTAGTGCTGCTCTTTCATACTTTACCCCTCCTGATTGAACAAGGGTTGATCCATGGATTGGCAGTTATGATTGATAAGGGTTATTCTGAGCCATGAAGTTACAGATAGTGATTAATTATAATGTTTCAGCTGATGGTCCATACCATTTCATGGTTGCCCAGGTTTTAATTACTAGACCTATGCTTAATCCGCCCTGTTTAGCCTTACGGTATTGCTACAAACATGATGAAAGTTATCCTCACTGTGAAGATGGGCTGCCTTCTCCACTAGGACTGTGCAGTGTAACTTCCAATACTACCATGGATTATGCATTTGATGCAAGTAAATAGGTGAGGGTGCATTAAAATTGGTTTTCACTCTTGTTGGTTCTTTTGCCTCCTGCAGCAGGCCTAGTTTAGCAGATATGCACTTTAGGATTCAGCTGGTTCTATCAGTGATGGTGCTACTCACTCGCACTGAAAACAGTTATGTTTAGTAATTTATACTTTATTTCTCCATTTCCAATCAATTCGACTTGCTGTGAAACACCTAGTAATGAAAAGGTTAAGCAAAGAGCTACAGATGAGATTTCATGAAATGCTTAATCGAGTAGAATTTATCTGAATTTATGTTGGGTCAATGGCTAATCAACTGTATGGTTAATACCAAGCTTGAAGATATTTGACTTGATTTGTTTTTGTCACATGTACCTACATAGAATAAAAAGTTTTGCTTAGTGTGCAGTACAAGCAGATCATAACATACAAAGACATAAAGGTCATAGGGTGATTGAACAGAGTAAGGAATACAAAGTTATGACTGCAAAGAATGTGTACAAAAAGCAAGATCAACATTAGATTTGAAATTTGAGAGGTCTGTTCGGAAGTCTGATAACAGGGAAGAAGTTCTTCTTGAACATGTTCGTACGTGTGTTTAAGCTTTTGCATCTTCTACCTGAGGAAAGAGGTTGGAAGAGATTAGTACCAGGATGCCAGGGGTCTTTGGCTGCGTTTCAGCAGCAACAAGGAGTGCAGATGGAGTCAATGGATGGAAATTTGGCTTGCGTGATAGTTTGGATAGCTTCCTGTAGTTTCTTACGGTCCTGGGCAGAGTAGTTGCCATACCAAACCGTGATGCATCCAGATAGAATGCTTTCTATGGTGTATCTGTAAAAGTTGGTGAGGGTCCTTATGGAAATGCTGAATTTCCTTAGCCTCCTGAGGAAGAAGTGTGGTTGTGCCTTCTTGATCGTTGCATCAAAATGGATGGTCAAGGATAGATTGTAGGTGATCGTCACTCCTAGCAACTTGACGCTCTCAACCATCTCCACCTCACCTCCACTGATGTAGGTAGGGGCATATCCTTCTCCTTGCTTCCTGAAGTTGATCAGCTCTTTAGTTTTGCTGACATTGAGGGAGAGACTGCTATCTTTGCACCATGTCACCAAGCATTCTCCCTTTTTCCTATATTCTGTCTCGTCATTGTTTGATATCCAGCCTATAATGGTGGTGTCATCAGTGAACTTGTAGATGGAGTTCAGGTGAAAATTTGGCCACACAGTCATGAGTGCACAAGAAGTAAAGTAGGGGGTTGAGTACACATCCAGGCCTCGATAGTAAGGATCTTCATGAGGAGGTGCTGTTGCCTGTCTTCACTGATTGTGGTCTGTAGGTCAAGAAGTCGATGATCCAATTGCAGAGGGCTTTGGTCTGAAGATGATTTTGATTGGGATTATTGTGTTGAAGGTGGAGCTGTAATTTATAAGTTGTAGCCCTATGTAGATATCCTTATCATCCAGGTGTTCCAGGGATGAGTGTAGGGCTAGGGAAATGACATCTGTCATGGACCTGTTGTGCCGGTAAGCAAATTGCAAGGGATCGAGACAGACTGAGAGGCTAGACTTGATGTGAGCCACGATTACCCTCTCAAAGCACTTCATAATTATGGAGGTCAGAGCCACCGGGCGGTAGTCATTGAGGCATGTTGCATGTGTTTTCTTTGGTACCGAGATGATGGTGGTATTCTTGAAGCAAGTGGGGACTTCAGATTGTAGCAAGATACACTGTTTTATAGTCGGAATGTAGCACTGTTTCAGTTGAATATTAATGACCGCTTCACTGATCTCTGCATTAATCTCCAGTATTATTGTTCAGTAACATCAAATGGCCTGTCAATTAATTAATTAGCTTAGAAAGGTTGCACTAATAAAAGAACATGGGTAGAATCATGTAGAGGAATGTCGTGGTTTGTTCTGTGGAGACACTGGTCTCAACTTTCAAACATGAAAAATGGCCTCAGCAACCTTTTGTTGTTTTGGGGTTGGGCAACCTGCCACAACAGCTGCAGCCAAGCCAGGAGGGAAAGCATTAAAGCCTGCCTTGTATTTTGTCAATTAGTTATCTGAACCTGAGCTCAGTCTGCACTCTCTGGTTCTCAAGCAATCCCAAAGATTGCTACCCTGAAGGGTCTGCTTCTTAATCTTGAATATGTCTCTTTTTGGACTTTTGTTCCAGAAATTCAAATCTCCCTCTATCCTTTGACTCAAACTTGAATTCCACAACTTCCGAACCTGACCGCATGTCCTCTGTCCTCCATTTTTCTTACATTCTCCCTTAGATTATTCTGGAATCTCCAATCAAATTTGGCTATATGAATTAGGAACGGAAAGTCAGCTCGGATTCCTGTTGATCATTGTCTAGACTCCTGTGAGGATGTGGTCACATTGACTTGGCTCAAATAATTCTTCTCCCTAGAATCTGATGGTCTACCAATACTTGATGTCCTGACTTGAACCACAGCGCTTGTGTGTAATGATAGAGGCTAACCAGTGCTGTGGAACTATTTGTGCTTGAAAGACTAATCATTTCAAGAGGAGAGAGCAAAGTATTTTTGTCCATGATCAGTTTGTAATTTTAACCTGTGTTATGTCCTTGTTGCCATATTGTCTTTAATTCTGATGGCTCCATCGATAACTGTGGCTGTGCAAAGAGAGCTCTTTTCTGTTGGACTGATTAAGTAAAGAAATCCCTGAGAAGGAGCTCTGTGGGACTAGATTCAGAGCTCTAGGCATCTTTTAAGCAATATGTAAATGCTGTTCAATTGTCATTTCCTATCATTTCAAAGGTATTTGATCCTTTAATGGCAGGAATATTTCTATAGCCAATACTCAAAATAACCCTTATTCTTTTATAAAGTGTTGAGTTAGAGTGCCCTGGTTAAAATAAATCTAGTTTATCAAAGCAGTACAATTTAAAAAGAAACCTATAAATCGTGAGCTTTAGAAGAAAAATGGAAAACTTGTATTTCATTTTAAGGGCATTTTAAGAACATTTAGCAATATGAGAATAGAGTCATTAGGTTAACTTCTGCTAGGGAAAACAAATGTATGGCAAGAGGCAGTTCTGGAGAATGCAAGTAATGAAATTAATATAATGGAATAGATTCACAAAGCCTGCTGACTGGTAATCTGTATTTAAAAATTTAACAGGAAGAGTAGTGATTGATAACTTTGCTTATTTTTGGTGCAGCAAGCATTCTCAGTAACAAGACCATGAATGCAGAAAGATTTTTTTTATGACTGTTTCCAAGGATGAAGGAATTCTGTTAACGTACTTAGATTACTGGAGCTGATCTTTTTCTCCTTAATAGCAGGGAAGGTTGGGAGATGATTGGATAGAATTGTTCAAGATCATGAGAGGTCAGAGTAGATAGGTTTTTCTTTTAAATTTGTGAAAGGGTCATGAGGTGGAACTCATGGGTTTAATTGATTGACAAAAGCACCGATGAGTACATGAGGAAAAGCTTTCTTACTGAATGAGCAGTCGTGGTCGAGAAAGCATTGACTGAAAGGTTTGTTGAGGCACATTCTGTCTTCCCTTTCAAAATGGAATTAGATAAAATCATGAAACCTAAATAAATGCAAAACTATGGGGAAAAGGCAGGAAAGTAGGACGAGTTGGATTTTTATTGTGGGGACCAGCATGAACTTGACTGGCAGAATGGCCTCCTATGCTACAACCATTTGTGATTCAGTGCTTTGATTCTATCTGAAATTCATAGGACATAATTAAACTAGAGGTTGTAGAGTCATAGAGCTGTTCAGCGTGGAAACAGACCCTTCGGTCCAACTCGTCCATGCTAACCAGACATACTAAATTAATATAGTCCCATTTGCCAGCATTTATCTTGGATAATAAAGAAATAAGTAATAAGAAACATGAAACAGTTGCATTTCAT